GCCCCAAACAAACAACAAAGGCAACGAAATCATCAACAACAACAAGGGTAACAGTAACAACAACTTTTTATAATTATATAAATAATATTTCGCCATCTGTTTTTCAAGAAATGTTTTAAATAGCTCAGTCCATAAAAACACGAGACATTCGGAAGAATTTAATTTACCTCTCTTGCGGACCCTCCTAGCCCGAAATGCATTCAAACAGTGCGTCCCAGAAAAAAAGAGAAATATCGAGATTTTATTATAACTTAATCACAATTGTAATTAATAAATGACACATATTTTGTAGATCCTCCTCTTTCATTTGGTCCAACTTACATGATGCATATTTCACGCATGAGTGATTAAAACAATTTGAAGAGAGGCCGTACCAAAAAGTCATTTGGCGGACGATATCTGAATTCCAAAGAGAAAATTACATTTCTAAAAAAGTTAATTTTCTGTCCTTGCATATAACACCTCAATCAGCAAAAAAAGAGGAAGAAAAGAAGAGAAAAAAGAAAGGAGAAGGGAATAAAAAAGGAGAAGAGAAAAGAAAGGAGAAGAGAAAAGAAACAGAGAGAGAGAGAGAAAAAAAAAAGACAAAATAGAAAGAAGATAGCCCCCGCCCCCCCCCCCCCGCCCCCTCCATCCCACTCCGGGGTCGGAGGTACCGAATTTGTGTTCCCAAAATCTCCGATAAACGGTTACTTTTTAAGCAACAAAGTCCGGCCCGTAATACACAAAAATCCGGCCCGTACTGACTTTACACACCGGAGAAAGAGGAACACTCAGTACAGTGACAGTAACGACGAGGGGAAAAGGGAAAAACTGTAATCGGGAGATTTGGGGTCATTCTAGAAGGCTTGGAGAACCTTTTTGAATAAAGGGGGCCTGGCCGGCCGCATAAAATCTCGAGCCGCCTATATTCAAGGTTAAACGTTCAAAAAAGCCCCTGCGCTACAAAGGTCATCACTCTTTAGTGAGAAATTTGAAAAGGGCACAATACTTTGGATGTCGTTTAAATTATAAGCTATATACTCAACAGTCAAATTTTAAATTAACGGTAGGGCCGCTTCACAACTTTACCCTTCATTTGGATTCAGCTCATACCAACTCGCTTGTGCTTGTATTTGAACTCATGTTGGTAGTAATCATGGACAGGGGCGGCGACCCTGGGTCCGATAGGGGGACAAGTCCTCCGGGAAATTTAGAAATATAGCTAGAAAGAAATATAGCGAAAGAACGTACATATTGGGCTTTGGGATTTTCTGGAATGCACAATTTCAGCATTCACCATTGCAAAATCTCGCTTGGCCGCTACGTCCCGGCCGCGACTTTGCGTTTTACACCCTGGCCTGGACATTTTCCCGGTAAATAGCAATGAAACTGCTTGAATGAGTCTAGTCTACGCTCCTCGATCGGGCGCGCCAGTCCTCTTAAGCCACGCCATTATTAGTGATTGTGCGCATGCAGCTATTAAACGTGACGTCACCATATGAAATTGCACCATCCAAGTAACTACTTCGTTTTCAATAATTGTAACGTCACAATAACTTCAAGTAACAACTTGGATTGGGATATGTAAATTCTAGATGTTCGACTTTGTACAGGTAAATGATTATATTAGTGTTACGGTAGGCCTACTACTGTTTTCTTGAAATTCAAACATTTTTAACTTTTCATGTTAGTTGTGCACCAGCACCACATAAATGCTTGGGAAATTTCATATTTGCACTCGTTTCAAGCTTCAATTGCCAAGATGCAGTTTACAAGTACATGTACTAGTATATTATAAAAAATGGTGAATAAATCACAATATCTCTGTGGAGTATCTAAATAATATTTATAATATTGGATGATCAATTTTCGCGAAATACGTGAAATATTGTTACTCGCTGAAGAAAAATATTTTCACGTATCATCCATTATTATGTGTATTCAGTTCGTTATCTCCAAAGTAAAGTGCGGTGCACGCCTCTGCGCCCATGAATCCGCCTATGTTCAGATCTCTTTTTATCTACATGTGCATGTATTTTCAAAAATTTCTTATAGTCATTTCTTGCATCTAAATCTTAACACACTGTCAAATTATCTGTTCAAATTTCTACTATTGTTTGCTTTCACTTTTACTACATATTTCTTCTTTATATAACTATTTATGCATACACATACTCCTGTATCTTTTGTATTACTTCTCTGACATTGAAAGATTAGATTACCTTCACGAAAAAAAAAAGTATATGAATGTAAAGCAGTAAATAAAGTGCAAATGAATTCATGTAAAACTGGTGTATAATTTCCTTTATATGTTATGTGTCTGTACATTACACTAGACAAAGTGATGAATGGAAAAAGAGAGAAAGAGAGGTCTTATAAACAAATATCATGAATTTAAAATGAGAAAGAGAGAAAGGGAGAGAGAGACAGAGGTCTTAGAAACAAATATGAATTCAAGAAGTGAGAAAGAGAGGGGGTCTTAGAAACAAATATCATGAATTGAGAGCTAGAGAGAGAGAGGTCTTAGAAAAAAATATCAAGAAATGAGAAAGAGAGGGGGGGGTCTTAGAAACAAATATGAAGAGAGAGAGAGAGGCCTTAGAAACAAATATGAAGAGGGGGTTAAAGATAAACTCCAGTACTGGTAAAAAAAAAAAAAAATTCTCACAGAATCAAATGAAACTTACACTGAATGTTCAAGATTACAAATAAATGACATGTGCCAAACAATTTGGGAAGAAAATGTATACTGGCTGAGTAATGAGCATAGAAAGACAAGGAAATCAAGGTAGTACCAGCCCCGACATCATGTGTGTTGTCCCATATATAGCTTTCTATGTGAGTGCTTGTTACTTTACCAAGACTCGGTCAAATTTATTATGATTTTGATGACTCCAGAACCTTGCAGTGCACACCAATACTTACATGCTACATGATCAACTGTTTCTGATCCTTTCCACACCTTTTCTTTCACAACGCAATCGCATTACCAGTACTAAAGTTTATCTTTAATGAGAGAGAAAGAAAGAGGGGTCTGAGAAATACATACGAGAGAGAGAGTGGGTCGAGAGAGAGAGGTCTTAGAAAACAAATATGAATAGAGATGGGGGGGGGGCGGGGGAGAAATGGGTCTTAGAAAACAAATATGAAGAGAGATGAGGGGGGGGGGAGGTCTTAGAAAACAAATATGAAGGGAGAGGGGTCAAGAGAATTAGAGAAATTAGGTCTTAGAAACAAATGACATGAATTTAAAAAATGAAAGACGTGATCCCACAATAATAGAAAATGGTACGAGTGCAATATTTAAATCACAGTTTATGTATTACATTACCATTACACATATTATGTCGAGTGTAGTCTGTGTATGTGTCAATATGTGTACACGTGTGTTGGGGGGGGGGGGGGGTCCGAATCAGCAAATGGTTTGAAAGTAGGCTACACGTCAAAAATTGAAACCCTGAAGAAGGCGGAATTAAACCACAAAAACCATAATATTATTTGGTTTCTCTCCAGGCGCGGATCTACGGGGGGGGGGGGGTTTAGGGGGTTTAACCCCCCCCCCCTTGGGCGGCCCAAAAAAAAAAAAAAAAAAAAAAGGAAAAAAAAAAGAAAAAAAAAAGAAAAAAAGAAAGAAAAAAGAACGCACGCTGGAGAGAAACCCTTTCAAGTGCAAATATTGTGAGAAGATATTCAACTCATCTGGTAACTTAACCAAACACATGATAACTCTGGATATAACTGTGTATTTACTGTTACTTGATTTAAAAAGACGTTATCATGCACTGCTTTTTATGGTCTCCATTGTGTTAATAGATGCCAGGAAAATATCACTTACGGAGTTCAAATAAACACCCCAAAAAAAATCGGCTCGCCGCTTCGCGGCTCGTGGACGATGCTCCGCATCGTCATCATTTTGGTCAAACCCCCCCCCCTTAGCAAAAAGCTAGATCCGCCCCTGCTCTCTTTCCTTACTTTGATTAATTCCTTCTCTAATTTCTCTCTTTCTTTCAAGTTAGTTTTTGTTTTCTCTCTCTGCTTATGACATTCTTTGTTTCCTCTCTGTTCTTTAATTATTTATTGTTTTTCTCTATTTCCTTCTGTTGTTATTCGTTGTTTTTCTCTCACTCGTACGTCTCGATACAAAAGTACATGTACCGCGTACCGCGACACTGGACATATAGGACGTACGTTGAGCATTGCAGAAGAGCCACGTGCGCGCGCAATATCTTGTCATGGATAGACTTTTCCCAGTCGGTTCCTTGAAATTTATTGGGAAAAGGTCCAGGCCAGGGTGTAAAACGCAAAGTCGCGTCCCGGCCCTTGCCCGAACACAAAAATGTGATATGACGCTTCCGGCCGTGATTTATCCATGGTTGGTGTAATAGATTTAAAAAAAATTCATTTCTACTATTAAACCTAAATGTGTGCTATCACAATCATGATTGTTTCATTCCCCTTTAAAGCAGGGGCGTAGCCAGGGGCGGTAGGGAAAGTAAGAGGACATAGGACGAAAAAGGAGCAGACAATCAAAAACATTTTTGAAAATTCTGACAAATCGAGAACGGTCCAACGAATCGTCTTATTTCTCTAATAATTTAATGAAATGTCCAAGCTTCCGCACTTCGCTCGGGAGGGGGGCAACTGAATTCAGACAAGGATGAAGAGTCAAGAATGGTACAACGATTCGTCTTCTTTTTCTAATTTAATGAAGCGTCAAAGCTTACGCGCTACGCGCGGGCGGCGAAAAACTGAATTCAGACAAGGATAAAGAGTAGAGAATGGTACAAAGAATCATCTTCTTTCTCTAATAATTTCATTAAACTATGAAAGGTCAAAATTAATTCAGACAAGGATTAAAAGTAAAGAATGGTACAAAGAATCGTCTTCTTTCTCTAATAATAATTAGTGAAAGGTCAAAGCTTCCGCGCTTTGCGCAGGAGGGGGAGAACTGAATTCAGACAAGGATTAAGAGTCGAGAATCGAACAACGAATCATCTTTTTTCTCTAATAATTTGATTAAAATATAAAAGGTCAAAGCTTCCGGCGCGGGAGGGGGGGGGGGGGGAACTGAATTCAGACAAGGATTAAAAGTAAAGAATGGTACAAAGAATCGTCTTCTTTCTCTAATAATTTAATGAAATGTCAAAGCTTCCGCGCTTTGCGCGGGGAGGGGGAGGGGAACTGAATTCAGAGGAGCATTAAGAGTCGAGAATGGAATAACAAATCATTTTCTTTCTCTAGTAATTTCATTACACCATGATAGGTCAGAGCTTCCGCGCTTCACGCGGGAGGAAAAAAAACAAACACTGAATTCAGACAAGGAATAAGAGTCGAGAATGGTACACAAATCGTCTTCTTTCTCTAATAATTCAATTCAAATATGAAAGGTCAAAGCTTCCGGCGCGGGAGGGGGGGGGGGGGGAACTGAATTCAGATGAGGAATAAGAGTCGAGAAAGGTAGACAACGAATCCTCTTCTTTCTCTTATATTTTAATGAAACGTCAAAGCTTCCGCTTTGCGCGGGAGGGGGGGGGGGAACTGAATTCAGACAACGATTAAGAGTCGAGAATGGTATACAACGAATCCTCTTCTTTCTCTAATAATTTCATGAAACATCAAAGCTTCTGCGCTTCGCGCGTTATGAGGGTGGGGGGGGGGGCAGCGAGATGCCCGAATATGAATTTTTGATATTTTTTCTCGTTTATTTTAGTGATAAATAACATTTTCACAAAATACACATTATGCTCAAATTTTTAATGGCTCGGGTCCCTCATTAGCCGAATTGTGAAACCAGAAGATTACTTTTTTCGGGCAACAGGCTTCAGCCCCCCCCCCCCCCCCCCCCCCCCCCCCCACCCGATGAAAATCGAAACCGCCCCCCTCTATTAGAAAATCCTGGATCCGCGCCTGCTTTACATAACAAAGATAGGAGAACGCGGTCACAATACAAAAAGTAGAAATGCCTACAAGAGCTAAGTCACCCGTGGCAAAAAACAAAAACACGTCACTGTTTATCATGAATAGCTTTCAAAGTCATATAGAAAAGCCTTTTGAGGTACACTTTTGTTGTATACGGTACGGCGTGTGTGGGATGTGATGACGCGCGCTGGTCAGCAAGGCGTGATGGAATCATTGTCCCATCTCCATGAGCATACGATATTCAATAACGTGTCTGGGTTATACCACGAGCGGTAGGATCATGGTTATTTATAGAGAAAAGAGAGGATCCCTGTGCATACATGTATTCGAAAGACGTCGTCAAGGCACCATCTACAGTATAGATTACAAACCACTATTAAACTGATAGCTCGCCTGTATCATGGATGAAGTGACGTGTTTTCAAATTACCTAGATCAGCAGCTGATTTTGGAACACATACTATGTAAGTACGTAGATCGAGTAGTATATACTGTTCAAGTGTCGTTGTATATGCATGTAGTATAGTCAGGGAGTTGCAACTCCCTGGTATAGTATAATATACATGTACATGGTATTTTGCACTGTCGAGTAGACTACGTACATGACCCTTGGTCCTGTACTACTGACATCGAACTTGCACGCGACCTACATAAACATGTACTGCTCTGTGATAAAATCATGATGATAGTACATGTAGGAACTGCTACATGTATAACTCTCATATCCGTGGTATGACCATTATGTTGGCATGTACACGTACAGTTAGGTTGTCTGTTTTCTGACAGACATTACAATGCTCAAAGTATCTTTTACCTATTAAATATGAATTCTGTATTGATACACGCATTTTGAATTATGTTATTACTACTTCTTTCAACACAATAGGATGATGTAATGCAACAACATTGTATAGCTGTTTGCTATGATATTAATTTTCGAGAGTCATATCATATTGTGAGAAAATTAAACAATATGTGCAAGGGTATATCGGATAAACAATTTCAGAGCTGCATGTATAGTCTAATGAACTACGAAGTTGTTGAGCCAGGAAGAAAACAACTTCTGAAATTTGATCTATAGCTTAGGTGTGGCATTGACGCTCTTACAAAATATGCAGGTGGTGATTTCGTGATAATAGTCATAATTGACTGTTTGCCAAAAAACACTCATCAACGACAACATTCAAATACCTCTAGTCTCAAATCAAGTCCCACACGTACTTGTTCCTCTTTTGTACATGAAGCAGCTTTAGACTTTTAGAGGTAGGCTGCTGTTTGATTCAAACAGCAGCCTGTGACTGAACGTTTCAGGTATATCCATCGATTGTGATCGGAATCCCATTTCCTCCTCACTTCAAGACAAATGTAAAGAGGAAACTCATATTATATGTTATCTTCAAACCAACTTGATATATCTATAACAGGAATATCAAGTTGATTTGAAGATACAAAAAGTGGTCGAATAAGGCAAAAAGTTGAAGGTGTAAGCGTAATTGACGCGAAAGAGGAGTTTAATGTATACCCAATAGTTTGTAGGCGAAATTGATGTAAAATACATGTAGTAAAGTATAAAATAATATGAAGTTGTAGGCGTAATCAATCAATAGGCCTATAGCTCGTTGAATGCCCCCTGTCAACAGCACTCCACTTATTTGATTTATAATGTTTTAATATTATTATATTTCTTTAATTTTATACTGAGATTTAAAGGGACTTATTAACATTGTTTAGATGCGAGAAACTGATGTGTAGGTAGTGACTTCAATGCTAGATGTACAATTAAAGATAATCTGAAAGTTTGATTGAAATTTGAAAACTGATCTGATCGATTCCTGTATTCTCCCAACCATAATATTGATATAATTTAATTACATTTTAGGTGAATGAAATCGTCACAAAGCAAGGAATTGGCTTTACATACCATTCCAAACATTTCAGTGTTGGAAGATTGTCAAAAGCCAGTTGTATCTCTTATATTCATGGAAAAACGGTTGAGTGCAAATATTGGTTTGGAGAATTTACTGTCAGAGGGTGCTGCCCAGTGACGCCTTCAACAACAAAAAACATCAATATATTTGTGTTTCGAAAAATTGTGCAGGGCTTTGTGCATGTTAGAGGGTTATTACAGTAGAAGGAATATAATAAGTAACATTTCATTAACAAATTACGCATTTTTTTCATCAACCTTCAACAATGTTATCGGTTCAAGTTTAAAGACATTAGTCCTCTTGATATTGTGATGAAACAATAGTTCCATTTGATGAAGGTTGTTGGTAATTACATGTCTCCACAAAATAACCTATACATATATGAAAATGTTAGTAAATCAGGTAAATTTCTAATTTGCAGATTTCCGAATTTCTGTTTCCCCGTCACATCTCTGATAATCACCATTATACTCTCTTGTATTCTTCGTTTGATTTTAATAATAATAATAATAATAACGGTGCTTATAAAGCGCTTACCCCCGCAGTCTCTATAAGCGCAAGCAAAATACAATGATGAACAATTACATAGTAAACAAAACAAAACAAATATAAATAAACCTTCTAATTTCGGTACATATGAAATATACATCAATGCGAACATAGAAGCTTATTATTAAAAGCAATTTTGAATCAATGTGTCTTAAGACAAGTTTTGTATTGGTTGACAGTCTGACAGTTTGTTAACATGTAAAAGTACTGTGTTCCATAGTTCAGCAGAAGCTTTGCAAAAAGAGCGATGATCATAAGAAAGAGTTGACACCGAAGTAGACACGAGGTTTAATTGTGAATATGACCGTAGATTGCCTGAGGGTTTGTATTCCTGGATTAGTCGTTGGCAATTCGTCTCCCCTTTAACTGTCATTGATCCGTTCCCCAATATTTTGAGAAGGAGCTGGGGGTTGAGGGGGGGGGGTGACCACTTGACCAAGTTATGAAATAGTAAATTAAAATTGGGTGACATTGTGTAACTCACTTTATTTTATATACTCTTTTCTTCTGTATCTGCTTTCAGCGTAATATAGATATCATCACAACTATATACCGTCCTCAACATGGGTGTGGGTGAGCGAAGAGGAGGACGCCGAGCTGGAGGTCATCGACGTGCAAATCATCGCCATAATCATCACAATCACCACCATAATCACCATCGTCATATTCATCATCAATGTCGGCTTCATGGTGGGATTCATGGTAATCGTCGTATGTTTCGGGGTCCCGGCCTTTCTACTTTCGGCTGGAGACGCCGAGGTGGTAATCGAGGTGGTAACCAAGGGGGGCCGCCGGTGGCCGTCACCCCGGTGCACTGCGTCAGCCTTATGATGCTTATCATGCTTGGCATGTTCGGTTTTATTGCAGGGATGACATTGGCCAATATTGGAGGATGGTTAGCTAGTTCTGTTGGTATTGCGGGCATGGTTGTTCTCCTCATCAGTGCCATCTTGCTCATCATCGTCATCGTCCTCCGATGTCACATGCAGAAATTGTCTCCGCAGCCAGCGGTAGGGATGGAGGCCGGGACATTGAACCCTAATATGACAGTATCCAATGTAACTTTACAAGGAGGAAGCGCCACAGTTTCACAAGTCGGTGAGACGACATCCTATATCATCCAAACAGGTGTGATGCAGCCTGGAGGAGTTGCCATGGGAACACAGCCAGGGTATCCTGGAGGCCCCGCCCAGCCTTATCCTCCACCTTCACAGAAGTAAGTTCGCTCTTTCTGAGTCCTCATACTTACCAATGTCTTTTGAAGTAAAAACATACCAATTAATAGGAACTTTAAATAAATCATATGGAAACAAAAATTGGCACCGGCGACTTAAGACGAAATAAGGAGATAAGGGGCCGGGGGGGGGGGGGGGGGGATGACATTGATGTATGGTTGTCTACCGGGAATGGTAATATTCTTTTATTTTGAGATGTATAAAATAGACGTAAGTTTTAGCTCAAGCGTGCTGTTTCAATAGTTTGTGATGAAACAATTTAGGTTAACTATCAATGAAAATTGACACATTTTGATAGTGGAGAGGAATGTGCTTTGACAGAACCGTACCCCTACACCTAGCTCCCTCTAATTATATTGCCTAACGTGCCTAGTAATTATATTACAAATCCAAGGACTCGACTAAAATGACATTGATAAAAAAAATAATGTTTTTTATAATTCCTTTTAAGAACTAAATGATTTTTCTTTCTTTGTTTGTTTTTTAAAAGCTACCCAGTCGCACCGTATCCTCCCTATCCGAACGGAGCTGCCCAGTACCCACCCCCTACCAACCCACCAGCGGCATCCATGCCTTACCCCCAACCGGGAGCCGCGCCGCCGGTAAACTACGCGGTCCCTTACCCTGCGCAGCCATCGGCTAACAGTCATATGGGCGTGGTCAATCCGACCTCCCAGGGGAACGACATCGTCCCGCCCCCATCATATAATGACGTCATGACTGGTAATGTAACATACGATGAGGGCCAGGGAATGAACCCGGGAAGTGGACCAACTTAGCTGAACTTTCAAATGCTTTGCAATCAGGCGATCCAATCTTTGGAATTTTGTAAACTTTTTTCCTGATATAGGGTAGTAATTCTACTGGAATTCGTAGAGGTGTCGTGGACGAGTGGATATGTCACCGGACTGTGGATCACAAGGTTCGCGGTTCAAGTCCCACTGCGGCACTAATGTCCTTTGGCAAGACATTGATCTACATTTGCCACTCTCCACCCAGGTGTTAAATGGGTACCCGGTAGGATGCGAAAGCTCATGTGGTTAGATTAGCAAGTTTGCGCTTGTAAAAAAGACGCCTGGCTGGAATGCTCCCCAGGGAGTGGAGATGTGCATACATTGTGTGCGGGTAAGCCTGAATCCTATGACCGGGGTAATAATATATATATATCTGTAAAGCGCTTTGAGAGGGCCTTCGGTCCTGAAAAGCGCTATCTTAGAACTAGCTATTATTATTATTATTAGATGAAAACTTCTTTTTGAACTGGTGCCATATCGTAATTTTATATTTAACTTTTTATGAATATGGCTGATGTCGAACTTTACATACTCTTATACTAAAAACTTTGAAAACCACAATTTATTTTTTGCATCTATTTGTTTCAATAATATGTACCTTTATAAATGTATATTTGTATGTCTTGCCTTGCTCCTATTTATTATAACTTTTAATGTTATTTTACTTGACTTTTTAAACAGCGTATTTGTATTTTGAAAATACATATACATGTTATTTAATTTCAAATATTTGCCTTTAAAAAGTTATACCTTAGTATTTTCATATTTTCATATTTTCATATTTTCATATATGTAGTATATTTACAATACAACTCGGCTGAGAATTTATTTATTGTTTTCCGATTTCGTCAAACTTTCACAATGTGCTTCTCTTATTTTTCTGCTTTATTTCAGAGCAATTTGCTTTTAAACTTTTTTTATATTCTAATCGCCTTAATATAAATGTAAATGTTTTCCTAAAAGATAATGAAAAACGTATTAACAAAAAATAGTTTTCTACTTAATACGTGTAGAAAAGGTACTGTAACGGGTACCAGGATCATTGTTACTATGGCATCCTAACTCTACACACAGTAGCTTCATTGTAACATTTTCCAGTACCATTTGTAGCGATTTTTGTTTTTAAAAGCACAATGCTTATATGCCTTACTGTCACTTCCAGGTTCAAGCCGCCATCAAGAAACGCAAATCGCTTTCCGCCAGCGAAAGTTCTTTCATCTTAGAAATTGCGGTGTATCTATTAATACTTTAGTTTACTTTTTGTTATTATTCACATATCATTCGATTATGTACAAATCTATATACTAGTCATAAGCCTATTAAAGGGAAAGTCCGTCCTGATATTAAGTTGGTTTTAATAGAAGCAGGCAGAGACATTAAGATGAAGAGATCAAATGAAAGTTTTTGATATTTTATGTACAGGGCAAATTGAAGAGAAGCTCGCAAGATACGTCACAGTGTTGCCAATTAGTAAATCATTGATCGCAACCTCAAAAGTTCATAACTTTCTTATTTTTTATCGGAATCTGCTCCAACTTTCTCTGAACTTTTCTTCTCATTTGTTCTGCTTCCATTCCCCATTAACATATTAATTTATATTTGATAATCGCAGGGGAGGGGAGAAGGGGCTCGAAGAAACGTTATGGGAATAGGGCTTGTGCCCTCATAATCCTCTAGACGGGATCTGTGATTTGAAATCTAATTCAACTCGATTTGTGAACAACTTGTATTTCTTTGAAATGGTTTTCCTCAACATGTTGTAATAAATGCATCTTGAACTTAATGAAAGGCGTATCTTGTTTCCTTCAATTACCATATTCACGTATGCTCAATCACTGCCAGATTGAAAGCCGGGGGGGGGGGGATGGGGTGAAAATCGGCCTATGTCCATGAACCACTCCCCCCCCCCCCTTTTTAGAACTAAATTTACATACCTTTAGTACACAAATGTTTCAAATTTAAAAATTTTCGACTATACAAAAAAAAAAACTGTAAATTTGATTCTCATTTGTTCTTTCTTTTATTGCTCGCTTTAATAGTTGTCAGAATATTTCGGAACCCCTCCCCCTTTAGAGAATCCTGACTCCGCCCTGTCTGTGTGGTGGTCTACCAATAATGCAATACGGAATGGTGCGTTGTGTATAGAATATCGACGTGCTATTGTCATGCTCGCTAGTCATCCAGGTTGGTTGCATGAGCTTCACCGTGAAACCATTCAAGCAACGGGCTGGAGCAGGGCAAATTCAGTGTTAAGGGCTGGTGTTATCACCACACCATTGTTTAGCACAACATCTTGTGGAACCAGCAACCTTGACATCTTGGCCAGTATGACGTCACACTTCGGTGCTCTATCATTTGTATGGTGGCCCTGAAGGGACATCACGAATAGACCAAATCGCGAATTATTCACGACGGAATTGGCGACGAAATTCACGATATCGTCAATTTCGTCGAGAATAATTGGCGATAAAATTCACGAAGACATTCACGCCTGCCTGGTTTCGTTTCCAATTACGTCGTCAATTTTATTTGTCCTTGCTTACGATTATGACGGGACGTTTTTATCATGATTTCTGTGAATATGGTAGGTTTTAACTTCATACTATGCTCTATTTGTATTTTATCTTTGACAAAATAAGGGTAAAGCACTAAGGGTAATTGTACAGCAGAAAAGTGAGAGAGAGAGAGAGAAGGAAAAGAAGGGAAATGGAAAGAGGAGAGAAAGTGAAAGAAAGAAGAAGAAGAAGAAAAGAAAAGAGGGAAGGAAGGAGATAGGGGCGAGAGGGCCTTTTCCCCTCCCCCCCCCCCCCGCAAAGAGAGAGAGAGAGAGAGAGATAGAGAGAGAAGGAAAAGAAGGGAAATGGAAAGAGGAGAGAAAGGGAAAGAAAGAAAGAAGAGGAAAAAGAAAAGGAGATCGGGGGAGGCCGAAAAGCCCTTGCCTCGACCCCCTGCAAACCTAAAAGAGAAAGAAGGAAGGGAAATGGAAGGGAAAGGGATAGAAAAGAAAAGGGGGAAAGAAGAAGATCGGGTGGGATGCGAGCCGGCCTTGCCCCCCCCCCCCCGCAAAAAAAGAGAGAGAAGGGATATTGAAAAAGGAGAGAACGAGAAAGAAAGAAAAGGAAGAAGAAAGGGGTGAAGGAGATCGGGGGCAACAGGGCCCCCCCCCCCCCGCAAAAGAGAGAGAGAGAGAGAGAAGGAAGGCAAAGGGAAGGAGGGGAAAGAAAAAAGGGGGAAAGAATGAGATTTGGGGGCCGAGCGGCCCTTGCCCCCCCCCCCCCCGCAAAAAGAGAGAGAGAGAGAGAGAGAGAGAGAGAGAGAGAGAAGGTAAAGAAGGGAAATGGAAAGAGGAGAGAACGGGAAAGAAAGAAGAGAAAGAAGATAATAAAAGGGGTAAGGAGATTGGGGGCGAAAAGGCCTCGCCCCCCCCCCCGCAAAGAGAGAGAGAGAGAGAGAGAGAGAGAGAGAGAGAGAAAGTTTGCAGGGGGAGGCAGGTGCCTTTCGACCTCCCCCCCGATATCCTTCTTTTCTTCTTCCTCTTCTTTATTTCCCTTTCTCCCCACTTTTCATTTCCCTTCTTTTCCCTCTCTCTCTCTATATTTTGCGGGGCGGGCGAGGCTTCTGCATAAGCATGTTTTGCCTGACTGTAAATTTAGGGATTTTTTTATTGTCCAACAATTAAACGAAAAAAAAGTATTATTTACAAACAGTGAGGAAAAATAAAAATCGATTTTTATCGACACCCCCTCCCACCGACCCCCGGGCTCGCCGTCCCTGAATACCACCACCATCATCAACAACAATAAAAACAAAACAATACTGATAATATTTGGCATATAAGTTATATCACTGTGTGTGAACGAAGATTTTTAGCTCTTTTTTACGCGCATGCACGATACCATAAACCATACGAGAAGTCTGCATAATTTTGGACTGATACTGATAGCGTAGAGACGGTACTGAGCGACGACGTCGACATCGAAGCCTTTCCCGATGTCGGATGTGAACTAAATTCAGGTGGAAAATGCAACATATGATTATGAGTAAAATTAGTAAACAATTGGGCTAAATTCCCTTATTTAGAATGGATATTAAACTGCTAAACAAATGGATACGGAAGTACACTAGCGCCCAGAAATCATGGTATAAACGTCTCGTCATAATCGTTTTCAAGGGGCTGGATTGTTTACCGCTAGACTAGGCAGGCCACGTTAGCAAGGACAAATAGAATTGACGACATAATTGGCGACGAAACCAATTATTGACGACGAAATTGACGATATCGTGAATTTCGTCGCCAATTTCGTCGTGAATAATTCGCGATTTCGTATATTGACGACGTCGTGAATTATATCGCCAATTATTCACGACGAAATTGACGATATCGTGAATTTCGTCGCCAATTTCGTCGTGAATAATTCGCGATTTCATATATTGACGACGTCGTGAATTTTATCGCCAATTATTCACGACGAAATTGACGATATCGTGAATTTCGTCGTGAATAATTCGCGATTTGGTCTGTTCGCGATGTCCCTTCAGGGCCACCATACATTTGTCCCTCCTTCCCAGCCCCGTTGGCGTTGTTGTCATTGTTTGTATAGAACTAATAGTAAACAAATGCATGCATCGTCTGGTACAAAATGATGACATCATACTACGTAACTGTGCATACATGGCGTCGAAATAAGAGGAAGAAGTACATTTATATAGCAGGCCAAAGTACAGCAGTAACTGATGTACTCACTATTATTTGTACGCGGCATACATTAGACTATAAACATCTTAAAGCTGGACTCATTTTACCATCGCTTATTCCCCTCACCCCGGAAGAAAAATGAACCAAACGTAGATCAAACAGGAGCTGAGGCCGGACAAACCATCACGGAAGTATCCTATCTTGTAAGTACTAATTTTCCTATTCATTAAGGGGTATTTTAGTGAGCTCGAAGGCATGCTTGCTCATAAACAAATCTTATACACGCATTAGATACAAGTATCTACCAGCACTGTTGCAATTTCTTTTCGCCATAATTGCCCTAAAGTATGGAACACATTATCCACATTCTTTACAATCAATTCAATTCACCAATTCGTAAAGTCAAGCAGCACTTCTTGTCATTGTATAAACCCTTATTGTGCATACCGGAATTAGATATTTTACTGAGGTATTCTTCAATGTATTATCTTTCAACTGGGCAAGAAGAAAAAAAATAGAATCACCAAAAAGGACTTGTGGCGCCCTTTGATTCCTCAGAGACGGTATATGAATCTAGATTATTATTATTTTTAAGATGCACCCCCCCCCCCCATTATTTCCTTTTCTCCCTGGAATATGTGTCTGGAAACCTGCTATAAGTCCTTCCAGATTTACCGAGAGGGGCAGGAGGTGCACATGATAGTATAGGACCCACCACCCCCCCCCCCCCCATTAATCCCATCCACCCATGAAGATTTGTCGCAGGGGTGGGGGAGGGTAATACGAGTATCAATTTATTTACATAAACTAGTTGTTTTTTGGTCTTCCGAAATCGGACCTGCCAAAAAAAAAAAAGAAGCTTAATGACCAGGATATCCTAACCATATTAGCAAAGAAAACAGATATTCGAATTTTCAACTCTAATTTCTATACTCTTCAATACCTTTCCTTTCAGCGTACTGTAATTGAGTTTTCGGTCACAGCCTCGCTAGAAATATAACACCAACGATATGGGTGTCGGTGAGCGAAGAGGAGGACGTCGAGCTGGAGGTCGTCGACGTGCAAATCATCGTCGTAATCACCGCAATAATCGACATAACCGTCGCCGTCGACGTCATCATGGCGGTGGTGCCATCTTCGCTGTTCGATGGGGGAATCGAACTGGTACTGCTGGCACGAGTGGGGAAACTGGAGCGGCCGTCACTCCGAGGTCCTATCCCCTACTGGTGATATTTTCCGTGATCGCCTTTGTCGGCATCTGCATGGGCATGACGATGTTGACTGTTGGAGGATGGAATGATTCTTCCGTCGGCATTGCCGGTATCGTCATCCTCAGCATTAGCTCCTTGATCGCTGTAATTGTCGGCGTTATGCGATGTCACTTGATGAAGAAATATCAGACTTCAGACGCCCAAGAGCATGCAGGAGAGTTGGAGGCTGGGACAGTGAACCCTAATATGATAGCCTCCAATGAGACTTTGGAAGGAGAAGGCGCCACAGTTTCACAAGCTAATGAGACGACATCCTATATCGTCCAAACAGGTGCGCCGCCGTCTGTAGGAGTTGCCATGGGAACGCAGCCCGGGTATCCATTAGGCCCCGCCCAGCCTTATCCACCATATGCAACTAAGTAAGTATAAGCTCTGTTTCACGGGAAGGTATTATCAATGGGAAATTTAGAGCATAACTGGCAATGAGGATCAATATAGCATTAATTTTATGAAATAAGTAGATTGGGTCTAAGCGCCGAACACAGATCTTACATTTCGACATCCTTGCGGTCAGGGGCACATTTAGCTCCGATTGAAGTGAGGAAATTATAGGTTAGGGAGAGAAACAGAGAGAGAGAGAGAGAGAGAGAGAGGAAGACAGAGAGAAAGAGAGAGATAGAGAGAGAGAGAGAGAGAGAGAGAGAGAGGGGGGAAGGGGAATACAGAGAGAGAGAGAGAGAGAGAGAGAGAGAGAGAGAGAAGGGGATTACCTGACACCTTCTTAGACCCTGAGCCGAACGGTGGTTCCATAGCTGTCTTGTTTTTCAATCATCTTTTTAGCCCCCCCCCCCCCCACACACACACACACCTACCCCACCCCATTAAATGACAGGACATACGTTTGTAAAGTCATAACCACACTGACTACAATCTTCTGTATTGTGTTATTTCATGTTTTTCTTCTTCAATAAAGCTACCTAGGGGCAACTTTATATCCTCCCGACCCAAGCGGACCTCCTCAGTACCCACCCGCTGCCAACTCAACAGCTACACCTATGCCTTACCCCCAACCGGGAGCGCTTCCAGTGAACTACGCAGCCCCTGGTCAACCATCCAATGGGGGCGTGGTCGATCCGACATCGGAGGGGGAAATTGTACCCCCGCCCCCATCCTATGATGACGTCATCGCCGGTAATGTGAAATATGACGAGGAAAATGGACAGTCCTAAAACTATTCCCGATGCTTTTACTCTAGACCTTATCTGGCGATGTCATTTTACAAATATAATTATCTTTTATATAGACACATCATGATTATTTTTTTCAGTAGTATGTCGAAATATTTATTGTAATAATATAATAATATTTTATGAAATGCCAGTTGCACAAAATTGTTTCAATTACACCATCCAAAGACATTCAAACAAAATAAATGCCCACGTGCGGCAGTCTACACAAGATCTAGAACCATGAGAATATAATAATTTGATGGTTTGTGCGTGGCTGTCATTGGGGACTTTTAGATTCGCACCAAGACAATAGGTCTATGCTACGATCGACGTCCTTTTAATGCACTGCTGTGAATGGACGTCACCCGTATCAGTCCACGCAAATCTAAAAGTCCCTATTATCTGAAGGTCGTCTATTGTATTGTACATTTGATTGGCATTGGTTGATAACGCTTCGCACACAATCTGAGGGGCCATGATCAAAACTGACAAATTTGATGATAAAATATCGCAATTTTCTCAGGAAAATCCAATGTAACGGTATACGTGAAGCACGCAAAATCAAAACAACAATAAACCCCCTCCACAAATAGAGTAAGCATTCATGCGTGCACGCAATGCGCATCGCACAATAGGCATAAACAATTAGCTTGTGTACTTATGCACGAAAATGTGTCCGTGGCACGCGAGCGGATGAGAGTTTATGTGTCCATGGCAAGTCAACAGAAACCCGATTATGTGTGCGTGGCACGCCAGCGCATGCACAGAACAGTGTTCTTGGCACGATAAGAGTTAGTGGGTGGTATTCTCAGAAGTTAAGTTGGGACTAAGTCCAGACTAAACAATAATTTTAGTTCACACTTCTATGGAATGCTAGGTTTCATCTTCCTCCTTCAATATTCATGACAAAGATAATCTACCAAAGACTTTGTTGAAATTCAGGTCATACTCATATTATCTTTTTCTTCCCATTTCATTGCAAAATTTATTTTTTGGACACTTTTCATTGAAGGATTAAAATAATCTGTACAGGGTAAATTAGTTTGCAACAGGCACTCCATAAAAGTGTGAACTAACTAAGTACGCGCTAACTTAGTACGCGCTACCGGAATACCACCCAGTGACCCGTATTCTCAAAACCTTTCTCAAAACTTATCTGTTTCGTTTTTGAAATTGTTTACATTGCAATTAATTAATGTATTATAATTGAGTATGTTACTCTTATTGATTTTTCACGAATATTTGCTATTTGTATTAACTTTGCTCTTAATGAATTACTATTTTTAGCTGCATGTCTGTAGTTTAAGGTTTTTGTATTTCGTTCTTGTAACTAGTTAAATATATATTTATTGTATACATAGATAAATGCATCATAATTATATAAACCTAGCGTCGTATGTATTATTTTCATCTTGATATAAATTATGAACATTGGAGAACGTTGTCCTTAATTTAAATACATTTCAATTAAGTCATTATACAAACTTTATATTTTTATGACAACTTTGTATTAAATGCACTATTGAACATCAAGGGAATTATTTCCGCATTTCATTACACTACGTACGTGACTGATCCATAGTTGCAGCGTATTCCGATCCGACAGCGAATTTTGAGATCGCGATATCTCCGGAATTCTTGTTCAAAAACTTTGCCGTCCATTTGATAATGATTAAACTACCGGTACATAGATTTCTGTAGAATATGAGAAATCATGGATCAAATATATCACATTCAGATGACACCCTCTCCGGCAATCAGAAAAGGGATGGAATGGGTGAAATGGACACAATGTGCTGAAATACTGTGATGAGGACAAACTTACCAACCGGCTCTTCAAGGACACCTTGAGCTTTAAGTTGTCTTATTATTACCTCAGGCATTTGACAGGCTTTGCATGGCCCTGTCAGGGTCTGTGAGGGCTGTAGGTCTGCATGTAGGGCAGGGATACAATTATGATCGATTGACCCGGACAGATTCCAGCCAGATTCTTCTTGAATTTATTCATGGCTTGCAACTGAGGAAAAAAGAATAATTGCTAAAAAGCCAACCTGTTGTAATATACACATGTACATTGTAGCTCCAAAGGGGTATTTTTAAGTTGTGGTTTTCATATTAGATTATATAATATGGGGCCACTTCACAAGGTGTATGTGCTTCGGGGAGCTAGCTCAGATGGTAGAGCGCTCGCTTAGCATGCGAGAGGTACTGGGATCGATGCCCGGGTTCTCCAAGTTGAACGCTTTTTATTTCAATTAAACTTAATGATGAATATTAAAGATAAACTTCAGTACTGGTAATGCGATTGCATTGTGAAAGAAAAGGTGTGGAAAGGATCAGAAACAGTTGATCATGTAGCATGTAAGTATTGGTGTGCACTGCAAGGTTCCGGAGTCATCAAAATCATAATAAATTTGACCGAGTCTTGGTAAAGTAACAACATAGAAAGCTATATATGGGACAACACACATGGTGTCGGGGCTAGAACTACCTTGATTTCCTTGTCTTTCTATGCTCATTATTCAGCCAGTATCTTCCAAAATTGTTTGGCACATGTCATTTATTTGTAATCTTGAACATTCAGTGTAAGTTTCGTTTGATTCTGTGAGAATTTTTTTTTTTTTTTTTTACCAGTACTGAGTTTATCTTTAATAAACAACCTTTTTTAGATGTGTTTCATAGATATTTATGGGTTAAATTCCGAAAACAATGTTACCAATTATATTTAGGAAAACGATGTTAGGTTTTATAACAAACTGATATTGGTATAAAACACAACAAACTAATATGAACTTTAGGCATATTATACACGCGAACGTAGCCATGCTTCGCGCAGATATTAACTAATGACTTGTCCCAATTTATTTGTTAATATGAGATTCTGCTCCTCTTTGTAGATAAGGACCGGGCATGGCTTCATCATGAGTGCTTTTACATGTACATGAACCTTTTTAAAATAAATATATTATGCTGGATTTCGACCCACATTGCAGAACCTAAAATGATAGGCTGATCATCCCCAATACGCTTGCGGTTCACAGTGTGCACTTCGTCCTTATTCCTGTATCCATCGTTACCGTCACCGCCATTTTCGTATGGCCAGCACCTCTTCAAACCTTTAGGAAGGCCCCTAGCATTTTCTGAATACCATTCTGCCGCTCTTTTCAGAAGTGTTTTTACACTAACCTTTTCATGCACTATGGCTTAATATAAAGAAGCATGCTAAGAATTTTTGAAAATAAGCTGAATTCCGACTCAGTTTTGCACAACCCAAATATCAGAATACGCCCCCCCCCCCTGGATCCGCCACTGCATAATGATGACATTATACTACGTATTAACTGTGCATATATACCTTCAAAAGAGGAAGAAGTACACTAGCAGGCCGAAGTACAGCAGAAATCTACATGTAAATGATTTACTCGCTATTATACGAGGCATACATTAGGTTATACAAATCTAGCTACTGCATCTGTATTATTACTGCTCTAATTTAGCCATCGCCCCTCCCCCCCCCCTCCGAAAAAGGGAAAAAGAGCAAAAATAGGACAACGGGGGACTGAGGCCGGACAAACCATCACGGAAGTATCCTGTCTTGTAAGTAATTATTATGCTATTCATCTAGAGGTATATTGTGGAGCTCTAAGGCATTGCTCATAGACAATTTGATATTGGATATTATCATCTATACTGTTGCAATTTCTCTTTCCCATAATGGCGCTAAAGTTTGTAACACATTTACACATTCTTTACAATCAATTAAATTCACTAAATTGTTTAAAAGAAAGCTTAAGCAGCATTTCTTTTCATTGTATAGTTCTTCTTAAATGATATATTTCGTCGCTGTTTTCACGAAGTGACGGTAGTGAAGAAAAAAATTGCATTCACTTTGCGTTACGATTTTCCTCGCTACCGTCACTTCGTGAAAACAAGGACGATTTTATGCGTTGTTTATCCCTATACTCTTTTCCAGCATACTGAGATCCTTATTGTGTATTATATTGTGACGCGCTCAGGGTGCGCCCATTCATCAAGGCCCTGTGGCTTTTACAGATACACCTTTTTTCATTCCACATGTTCAGTAGATTTAAACATGTTTTCTTTGTCTTTTGTTTTTCCAATGTATACAATGTATTTTTCTTTGCCTACGCTTTACAACAATGTATAATGTCATTTGTTACTGTGATTGGAAACAAATAGGGTTGATTCGACTTGTTTTGATTCATTTATTTAACTAAGACCAGCATTTTGAAAACCGTTCTGAAAAAGTTTATGCAAAACAAAATTTAATAGAAAATCGGACGTAGGTGAAACATATTTGGTTAAATGGCAGATGAACTTGCGGGATCCTGTATCTATTTCCTGCATGTACCTCGATTAAAATCATTAATAATCTATACAATTTTGTTTAGGTGAGACTGGATTCTTTTTAATTTTCTCTTTAAAATTTGCCTTAAGCCCCCCCCCCCCCTCTAGAACCTTTACTAGTAAATGATTTGAAATTCGAAATGATAACAACAACGTAAGCCAATAACACCCCACTACCTAACGTTATCACGTTTAAAATGACAACAGTTTTATTATAATAATCTATTGATTTTTAGGCATGACATCCATGGCGTTAATTCTATTCCTGAACAATAACAAATCATTGATCTATCCCAAATCTCGTTGTTCCTGATTCATTTTGGAAGTTTAGTTTCAACCATTGATTATGACATTATAATATCATTTGGATAGAGATGGTTCCTCAATAGCCAAGCAAATGACAATGTGATTATTATCAGGTCGACCGTTGCTCTTACCGGTAAGTGTTTACAATTGTTGGTATGCAAAAGATAACGATAATAACTTACTCATCGTGTTTAAAACAATGACTCTTTAACGTAGCGTCGACTCAGTCTATAGTTCATACTCGGATGAGATATTTACATGTATTTACAAAGGAGAGAAAATGTTGAAAGGTGCTCAAGGATCAGTCATAATTATACTACCCCTAAAATATCATTTCGGAAGAGGTGCCGCAGTCGAGTGGTCTAAGCACTTGATTTGAAATTCTAAGGCCGTTGGTTCGAACCCCGACACGCCGAACTATAAGCGCTAATGCCTCAGTCACACCTTTGCGTATTGGCTTGCGTATTGCTGCGTATTTATGGCAAGCCGTTCTAACATTTATTCCTTGATATCAAGAATTCGATTTCTTGATATCAAGAATTACCATTGCTTTACAACAGAAAATTACTTCTTGATATCAAGAATTCTTTTCTTGATATCAACAAATATGAATAAATGTTAAAACAGCTTGCCATAAATACGCAAAAATACGCAAGCCAAATACGCAAAGGTGTGACTGAGGCATACGAGGCGATTTTTCGTATTCAGCGCTTTATAAACTGATCTAGATTTTTTTTTTTAAAGATGCAACGTCATCCCCCCCCCCTATTATTCTCTTTTCTCCCTGAAATATATGTCTGGAAACCGACTAGTCCTTCCAGAATTGCAGAGGTGGAAGGAGCTGAAATGATATAGGACCTCACCCCGTCTCCCCCCCCCCCCAGTGAGCCAATCCAACCACAAAGACTCGTCGCAGGGGTGGGGGAGGGGGGGATACGAGGATCTATTTTACATGAACGAGTTTGTTTTTTTGTGCTTCCGAAATCGGAACTGTCAAAAAAAGAAGAGCAAAATTTTGACTTGACATAATTAAAACATTTAATTTTTTTAGAATTAATCAGCATATCATATATTAGCAAAGAAAACAGACATTCAAATAATTATCTTCAATTCTTATACTCTTCAATACCTTTCCTTTCAGCGTACTGTAAATGGGTTTTCGGTCACAGCCTCGCTAGAAATATAACACCAACGATATGGGTGTCGGTGAGCGAAGAGGAGGACGCCGAGCTGGAGGTCATTGACGTGCGCATCATCGCCATAATCACCACCATAATCGATATAACTATTACCGTCATCGTCATCATGTCAATGGGGCAGGCTGCAATGGGGCCATCTTCGATGTTTGATCCTGAATTCGGAAATAGTACTATCGGCACGAGAAGTGAAACTGGACCGGCCGTCTCTTCTCGCCCTGGGATATTCTCCTTGATCGCCTTTGTCGGCATCGGCATAGGCATGACGATGTCGACTGTTGGAGGATGGACTGATTCTTCCGTCGGCAAAGCCGGTATCGCCATCTCTATCATTAGCTTCTTTATGTTTGTGATTTCCGGCTGTATGCGAGTGAGCTCGATGAATACATTTCAGTCTCCAGACTTACAAGAGTATGCAGAAGATTTGGATGTTGGGACAGGGACTTTGGAAGGAGGAAGCGCCACACTTTCACAAGCTGATGAGACGACATCCTATATCGTCCAAACAGGTGCGCTGCAGCCTGGACGGGTTACCATGGGAACACAGCCCGGGTATCCAAGAGGCCTCACACAGCCTTATCCACCACATGCAAATGAGTAAGTATAAGCTCCGTTCCACCAAGAGGGACTATTAAGCATAAGCATAACCGGCAATGATGATTAATATTGTAGTATTCATTTTGTGAAATTATAGTAGATTGGGTCTGACTGGCAAACAGAAATCTTACATTTCAACATCCTTACGGTCAGGGGCACATTGAGTTCCGATTGAAATTATAGGAGAGGGAGGGAGAGAGAGAGAGAGAGAGAGAGATGACGTGACAGTGACACCTTCCTAGACCCTTAGTCGAACGGTGGTTCCCTGGGTGTCTTGTATTTCAATCACCTTTTAAAGCCGCCCCCCCCACGAACACACACAAACTCACCTCATTAAATGACATAACATACGCTTTGAAACTCATAACCACACTGACTACAATCTTCTGATTTTCTGATTTCAATTTTTTCTTCTTCAATAAAGCTACCTAGGGGCAGCTTATCCTCCCAACCCTGCACAACCATCAAATGTGGGCGTGGTCGACCCGCCATCAGAGGGAGAAAGTGTACCCCCGCCCCCATCCTATGATGACGTCATCGCTGGTAATGTGTAATATGACGAGGGAAATGGACAGTCCTAAAATGATGACCGATGCTAAATGCTGACGTCTCAACACGGCCCTGATTGAAACCAGTCTGCGAACTGTTTCGGGCTTTTACCGTGTATAAATAAAATAAACTCAACTTAACGCTAGACTCGATCTGGCGATGTCATTTTAAAAATATTTATCTTCTTAATAAACACATCATGATTACTTTTTTCAGTAGTATGCTGAAATGAATATCATAATAATAACATATTGATAATGTATCAAATGTCAGTTGCACACGAGGCGTTATTTTAATCACACCATTCAAAGAAGTTCAAAAAGTAAAATTCAAATTGACTCTTGGGCTAATTTCTCGAAAGTTTATGCGATCGTGTTCACAAAACATATTATAATTGCTACCCACTAGAACCGTGTTGGCGATGCCCAACATCTTTGGCGGATCGTATACAGCTCTAATTTTGAGTGCACCCCTCACCACCCCCACGCCCATCGACCCCTTTGTATACAGACTCAGGTAGTAAGGATTGCAAATGCCAGTGCTTACAGAGTCGTGGCGATTTATAGGACTTGATTGACCCCATATCATTCTCGTTTTGTTGACGTAATGTGAATTTACACCATACATCGAATTTAATATTTTTACGACTGAACAAAGGCAGGAAGTTTAACTCGTGCTTTTTTAGCTCAGGCCTACATATCTTTAAAATACTAAGTATGATTTTCTTTGTATACTATGTTTATCATATTCATTGGTATGTATTAATCATTGGGTATTTTTGTAGTCACGCTTGGTATTACCTATTTTCGTGTCGCGGATTATTTCGTTTTGTTTCAGAAAAAAAGTATCGAATTTACTTAATACCCTGTATTTTTACTCCTGTAAATACCCTGTATGATGTAATAAAGGCTCTCTGAAATGCATGCTCATGTTATTCAACCTTGTATTCAAACTTTAATTCGAATTTGTTATCATGGTTATGATTGTTGTGGAGTAAATGTTGATTGGGCCTATCTTATTAGAAAGTTATAAATGAGAAATGAATTATATAAAAACATAGCGTCGTATGCATTATCTTCATCTTGATACAAATTATATCCATTGAGAAAGTTTTTGCCATTAAATTCAAATCGGTTTAATTTTCCAGAAAAAGTATTTCTATGAAGTCATTACACAAACTTTTTATTTGTTCGTGACAATTTTGTATTAAATGCACTTTTCGAACATCGAAGTAATCATTTCCGCATTTCATTACACGTACGTGACTGGTCCATAATCATCTATAATAATAATACGAGAAGGCTCCGCGGGGGGGGGGGGGGGGGCATGACGTCTCCGCCGGCCTTTGTATTCTATTGTTTTTTAATGAGATCGCCGACCGAAGTTGGTGCAGCTATCTCCTCCTGAACCCTCCCCTCGGGGTACCCGTGCCCGGTGCCATCGTCCGCGGGAGAGTCTACTCTGTGGAATTGGCTATACTCTGCCCGAGGTCCTCCTCCGTGTCGACGTCCAGGGCGAAAACAGACGCGACATGCATAATGCAGGCTATGCGTGACGACAGAGATACCTCATGGATATTCAACATTACATCCGTAGACACACGACCGATGACTATCCGTATAATATTGTATACACAAAAATCGGTCGTAAAAAAACTCGAACCATATTCCATACCTTACCTGGCTTACCATGTCGCACGCAAGTACGCCAAAACACGTGCATTTTCGCAGTTGCGAGATCGAGACGGAGCGTAGGGCTCGAGTTTTTGGCGGTCGATTTTGATTTGGTAGAAGCTGAATCTAGACCATGAACCACTAAACATCGCGAAACTGCAATCAATTTCCATCACGAATTCACGATTGCTGCAATATTATAAAGTTTCCATAAATAGAAGTATGAAATTAAAGCCTATTTTGTGATGTTCTCGCCATGTTTACGTAATTTTGATAATCATTTCTTCAAAGTAAAGAAAATCAGACAAAATCACTGTAACTGACACGCATACAAATACAATACAGTGCATTGCCACTGTGTGAGATGAGCTGAGTTGCAGTTGAAAGTGTGTGAGTTGAATTCGAGTCGAAGAGATTTGACACTTTGAAATTGTTATCTGTTGGTTTGCATCATTATTGCCGCGATTTCAATATAGTTTCGTGAATAGATTTACGAAACCTGAGCTTAGAATTAGTAAAAGTATTACTAGACTCTAATGTCTACGTTTTTAAAAGACTGTTTGATTTTCCTGTGAAAATTTTACTCTGAAAAATGATTATCGAAATTCATGGTCAGAAATAATCACAATCTAGGGTCTATTATGTTACAGTTCTTGCATCAAATCAATGCATGAAAACTTAGTTATTGAACTAGAATTTTTTTTTTTTTTTTTAAATAGGCAATTATGAAGTAGGAAGCCTGAAACCTAATAGCCTACTAAACAAATCTCAACAAAGTGTAGGCCTATCCTTATATGAATTAATGAAAAAGTAGCCCCAGAAAAAAGAGCCCCCGAAGATTTCCCTAAAATTTGAAATGGAGCCCCCGAAATGAAAAACTTAATTTTTTGCCTGCGCACCCCCTCTAGAATCCCGCGGATTTCCGCGGGTCCTGAGTAGAGTGTATATATAATATAGGCGTGGGGTCCACGGGTTTCAAGGGGCCATAAACCCCCAAAAGCTCGGGGGTTACGTTTTTTAAAGTTGGGGGGGGGGGAGAGATCAGATCGCAGCGAGTTGAGTGTATATATAATATAGGCGTGGGGTCCACGGGTTTCAAGGGGCCATAAACCCCCGAAAGCTCGGGGGTTTTAGGCGTATAGGGTCAGATGAGCATATTTTTAATACTTTATTTGTGACACTTGCGGGTCACTAATTGGCGTGGGGTCAATACGTAGAGTTGCGTAGTGTTGCGTAACAACTACGCTGGCCTACGTTACTATATGCTGAGGGACGGAAAGGGGTACGCAAGATGAACGAAAACAATTCAACCTGTTTAATTTTTTTCGCCAGCCTACGCATAACCTACGCAGGGACTATTTCCCCATTAATACGCAGCCTAATTTCTGCGTAGTCGGTACGCCACACTACAAAACTCTACGCAGTTCCAGTGGCTTAAAGAATAACTACCGGTACAGTTGGATCGTTTTTTTAATTTTTATATAAGGCCAAATTAAAAAAAAAACATGTTTAGCTTCCTGTTTTTTCGAAAAATGGGAAGGAGGAGGCCCTTTTTTTTTCTTTTTTTTTTTCTTTCAAAATGGCCGCTCCGTACATTTTTCCTTACATTCAGGCTATTTTTCAAGATGGCGGCCGACAATTTTTTTTTTTCTTTTTTAAAATCAGAAATACATTTTAGCAGTGCTTTTCATGTTTTTTTTCTTTCAAAAAAAAAAAAAAAAAAAAAAAAAAAAAAAAAAAAAAATAGGAGGCGGCCCCCAAAAAGGAAGCAGGCGGGGACGCTGTTTTTTTTTTCTTTCAAAAAAAAAAAAAAAAAAAAAAAACTTTTCAAAAAATTTCAAAAAAAAAAATAGGAGGTGGCCCCCAAAAAGGAAGCGGGCGGGGACGCTTAACATGTATATTTCTTAATGGCCTGAATGGCAAATAAAGTTCTTGGTGGTTTTAATTTAGACAGTCTCTATATATCTATTTACACCCCCCGCCCCCCTCTAGGATCCCGCTGATTTCCGCGGGTCCTGCTAGTCACACTATGTAATACGCTAAGACTCCGCGGGGGGCATGACGTCTCCGCGAGCCTTTGTATTCTATTGTTTTTTAATCACACTAAGTAATACGCTAAGACTCCGCGGGGGGCATGACGCCTCCGCGAGCCTTTGTATTCTATTGTTTTTTAATTCACACTAAGTAATACGCTAAGACTCCGCGGGGGGCATGACGTCTCCGCGAGCCTTTGTATTCTATTATTTTTTAATGAGATCGCCGACCGAAGTTGGTGCAGCTATCTCCTCCTGAACCCTCCCCTCGGGGTCCCGGTGGCTAATTTTTTTTTCCCAAACAGGTTTGTCAATGCTAATATTTCCGGTCATCTGATTGGCTGATATGTTACGTCATTAGCAATGACGTAACCGTTCTAGTGAGTGATAGGGTTATAGAAATCATGCAGAATTACCTTTCATCAACCCATCGTTGGCTCAATCGGCAAGGTCAGCGTAATACAATCATAGAGTTGTGGGTTCAAGTCACAGTTTATTCCGTTTTTTTGCCTTTATAAATAGTGAGGCAAAGCAATAAAAAATCAAAGTCTAATTGTTTGTGACCTCTTTCCAAGCTGATAATGACGTAGAACATATCAGCCATTGAGAAGAACGAAAATAAAAGAAATTGCAAACCTGTTTGGGAATACAAATTTCGCGTCCCGATGCCCGGTGCCATCGTCCGGGGGAGAGTCTACTCTGTGGAATTGGCTATACTCCGCCCGAGTTCCTCCTCCGTGTCGACGTCCAGGGCGAAAACAGACGCGATATGCATAATGCATGATATGCGTGACGACAGAGATACCTCATGCATATTCAACTTTTCATCCGTATGAAACAGACACACGACCGATGACCATCAACTCACATTAAGTTGCGTATTAAATGCACGATGCACAGGATCGGGATTACCCAGAGTAAAGCGTCTTGCTATAGGATGTTCTTTGTTGTAGCTGCACAAGCCAGAGAGATACACGGGGCTTCCCGTCGACGTCCAAACTTAGAGACCTATTTCCATCATGATTGCCGCGATTTTTATATAGCTTTCGTTAATGGAGGTATGAAATCAAAGCTTATTTTGTGATTATTACGGCCATGTTTACTGAATTTTGATTATCATTTTCTAAAGGAAAGTTTTCACAAGAAAATCATTGAACTGACAGTTCAGTCGCAAGCTGCCTTCAGTCAACACACATCCAGTACACACAGTGCTGCTGCGCTGTGTCTGCCGGGCGGGACTTTGGCTGAGTGAGCTGCGCTAGAGTTGAAGAGTATGGGGGGCCAAGCAGGCCAATATTCGTACAACTATACAACTACATATACGTCTATCCATCCATCGAAGAACCCGTCAACACAACAGCGTGCGGGCCGAAGTGCCATATTTTTGTACACCTATACAGCTATAAAACTATACGACTCTACGTCTACTCAGCCATCGGAGACTAATATTGTCTTATATCTACAGTAAATTACAACAAAAAAATTAAACAAGGTTATGAATTGTACATTTACATATTAATAGTTCAAAATCAACCAGACAGAAGTATGTGACTTCATGCATTGTAAAACAGTCAGTTGCGTAATTAGTAAAATCGTTTGGGGGGGGGGGGGAGTGCTGAAACAAATCTGCATCACCATGCACCATTCTTACATGTTACATGCAGACTCCAAGAAACGTTTTTCAAAGTGTGGGGGAGGATCAGTTAGATCGCATCGAGTTGAGTATTTATAGGCGTGGGGTCCACGGGTTTCAAGGGGCCATAAACCCCCGAAAGCTTACAGGTTTTATGCATTTAATTAGGGTCAGATGAGCATAATTTCAATACTTTATTTGTGACACTGGCAGGTCACTAATTGGCGTGGGGTCCATACGTAGAGTTGCGTAGTGTTGCGTACCAACTACACTGGCCTACGTTACTGAGACGCAAACAATTCAACATGTTTAATTTTTCCGCGTACTTTCGGCGTAGAAACTTGACGCAGAAAGTACGCCTTTTCACGCAACACTACGCTACTGTACGCCATGCCTACGCAACAGTACGCTACCCTATGCCAGATCGACAAAGCAGTAAAAACTTTCCACACAGTAAGCAACCGTAAGCAACCATAAACAAACCTGTACACTAGCCTATGCATAACCTACGCAGGGACTACAGTGAAGCAACATTGTTCCATTAATACGCAGCCTAATTTCTGCGTAGTCGGTACGCCACACTACGCAACTCTACGCAGTTCCAGTGTGAAAGAGGCTTAAGAATAACTACCGGTAGAGTTGGATCGTTTTTTTTTTTTAATAAATGGCAAATAAAGTTCTTGGTGGTTTTAATTTAGAGAGTCTCTATATATCTATTTACACCCCCGCCCCCCTTTAGAATCCGCGGATTTCCGCGGGTCCTGCTAGTATATAATAATGAATTACTAGAGCTGAGGAGAGAGGGGTTTTGTATTCCTTTTTTAAGAATGAATTTAGCATCTCACATGTTTAATTCCTTCTATGTACCTCAGAAAAATAGTCATAATCATTTTCCAAACGTGTTTGTCTGTTTAACGTAACATTAGGTGTAATATTGGACTTTGGCATGGTATTAAAGTTTATCTCTTTTTCGGTGACGTCATTCAGATTGGTTTCAAAGGTCGAACGTTAAATAGATTGATACATTGCTAAATGACGTCAGCAATGCTTAGGGATGGAGTTTGACACAGTGAATGGATTCAAGTGCAAAGGTGATTCCATGATTGAGGGCGACCCTACCCCCCCCCTCCCTCTCCGCCGTGGTTATATATAGGTACGCATCGCCTTTATTAGAACCCCGAACCCCAATGTTTGTTTTTTCTGAAGTTAAATGACGGGGCATTTGATCTGTTTATCTGCATTGGACTTGGTACCCACCAGGGGCAGATTCCTAATTTTTCATAGAAGAGGGGCAAGCAATTAAAACAAAGTAAGGAATTTTACATTTTCGGGGGCATTTGGAGGTCTAACATTATTGCCATGGGGGAAGGGGGAAGTACGGGGCACGCAATTCTTTGTTATTGTCAGAATATACAAGTGTCTTTTTATTTGCTAGCTTACTCCACTTTCTCACAAATATCTGGTGTGGTCATTGTTAGCGCGTGACCTTAGTTCGCTAGCTCAGAAATTCGGTAAGATTTCAAAAATCTGATGCTAACAGTGGAAAGAGGAACTTAAAATTACCCAGAGACGAATTTTATATGGAACTGATGTGAAACTATTTGCATATTGACAAAATATCGACAAAGTTTGCAGTCTTTTGCGTTCGTTCCCAAAAATAATTATGAACTTACCGACTAGGGTCTGGAAATCTTTATTTTTTGAGAGCAGATGTCATTAAAATTGGAAGTAAAAAGTGGAACCAACTCATTGATAGTTTGCCTTGAAAATAAGGCAACTATCTCATATGTGATGGATCATATTTTGTGGTTAAAATCATCTGTTAACTACCTTGCACAAATTAAGGTCTCGTTAATTTTATGACTTTTTCGTAAGTTGCAGCGCTTTCCGATCCGACAGCGAATTTTGAGATCGCGATATCTCCGGAATTCTTGTTCACAAACTTTGCCGTCCATTTGATAATGATTAAACTACCGGTACGTAGATTTCTGTAGAATATGAACAATTATGGATCAAATATATCTCATTCAGATGACACCCTCTCCGGCAATCATAAAAGGGATAGAATAGGTGAAATGGACACAATGTGCTGAAATACTGTGATGAGGACAAACTTAGCAACCGGCTCTTCAAGGACACCCTGAGCTTGAAGTTTTCTTACTATTACCACAGGCATTCGACAGGCTTTGCATGGCCCTGTCAGGGTCTGTGAGGGCTGTGGGTCTGCATGTGGGGCAGGGATACACTTATGATCGATTGACCCGGACAGATTCCAGTCAGAAAGTTCTTCTTTAAAGTTATTCATGGCTTGCAACTGAGGAAAACATGGACTAATTGCTAAAAAGCCAACCTGTATTAAAGCATGTAGCTCAAAAGGGGTATTCTTAAGATGTGGTTTTCATATTAGATTATATAATGTATGGCCACTTCGTTTGTACATGTGTGCTTCGGGGAGCTAGCTCAGATGGTAGAGCGCTCGCTTAGCATGCGAGAGGTACCGGGATCGATGCCCGGGTTCTCCAAGTTGAACGCTTTTTATTTCAAGTTTACTTAAAGATGAATTTCTTTTCTATTTGTTAATGTGTTACTAGATTTTCATGGGTTAAATTCCGAAAACTATGTTACCAATTAAATTTAGGAAAACGATGTTAAGTTTTTATAACAAACTGATATTGGTATAAAACACAACAAACTAATATCAACTTTAGGCATATTATACACGCGAACGCAGCCATGCTTCGCGCAGATATTAACTAATGACTTGTCCTAATTTATTTGTAAGGACCGGGCGCGGCTTCATCAGGAGTGCTTTTACATGTACATGAACCTTTTTTTAAATAAATATATTATGTTGGATTTCGACCCACATTGCAGAACCTAAAATGATAGGATGATCATCCCCAATACGCTTGCGGTTCACAGTGTGCACTTCCTCCTTATTCCTGTATCCATCGTTACCGTCACCGCCATTTTCATATGGCCAGCACCGCTTTAATAACCCCTCCCAAACCTTTAGGAAGGCCCCTAGCATTTTCTGAATACCATTCTGCCGCTCTTTTCAAAAGTGTATTTACACTAACCTTTTCATGCTGGCTTAATATAAAGAAGCACGCTTATAATTTTTGAAAATAAGCTGAATTCCGACTAAGTTTTGCACAACCCAAAAATCAGAATAGCCCCCCCCCCCCTGAATCCGCCATTGCATAATGATGACATCATACTACGTATTAACTGTGCATACATACCTTCAAAAGAGGACGAAGTAAATTAGCAGGCCGAAGTACAGCAGAAATCTACATGTAAATGATTTACTCGCTATTATACGCGGCATGCATTAGGTTATAAAAATCTAGCTACTGCATCTATATATTACTGCTCTAATTTTACCATCGCCCCCCCCCCCCCGAAAAAGGAAAAAGAGCAAATATAGGACAACGGGGGACTGAGGCCGGACAAACCATCACGTATAAATATCCTGTCTTGTAAGTACTTATTATGCTATTCACCAAGGAGTATATTGTTGTGCTCGAATGCATTGCTCATAAACAATCAAATATTGGATATTAGTATCTACTGTTGCAATTTCTCTTCCCCATAATGGCGCTAACGTTTGTAACACATTTACACATTCTTTACAATCAATTAAATTCACTAAATTGTTTAAAAGAAAGCTTAAGCATCATTTCTTGTCATTGTATAGTTCTTCTTAAATGATATCTTGTATGCTTTGTTTATCCCTATACTCTTTTCCACATAGTGAGTTCCTTATTGTTTATTATATTGTGTCTCGCACAGGGTGCGCCCATTCATCAAGCCCCTGCGGCTTTTACAGATGCACCTTTTTCCATTCAACATTTTTAGTAGATTTAAACATGTCTTCTTTGTCTTTTGTTTTCCAATGTATAATATATACACACAATGTATAATTCCTTTGCCTACGCTTTACAACAATGTATAATGTCATTGGAAACAAATAGGGTTGATTTGATTTGATTTGATTCATTTATTTAACTAAGACCAGCATTTTGAAAAACCGTTCTGAAAAAGTTTATGCAAAACAAAATTTAATAGAAAATCTGACGTAGGTGATACATCTTTGGTTAAATGGCTGATGAATGATTAAGGGGGTGGGAACTCAGTTGCGGGTTCTTGTATCTATTTCTGCTTACCTCATCAACAAATCATTGATATATCCCGAATCTCGTTGTTCTTGGTTCATTTTGGAAGTTTAGTTTCATACATTGATTATGACATTATAATATCATATGGATAGAGATGGTTCCTCAATAGTCAAGCAAATGACAATGTAATTATTGTCAGGTCGACCGTTGATCTAACCGGTAAGTGTTTACAATTGTTTTTATGCAAAAGATAACGATAATAACTTACTCATCGTGTTTAAAACAATGACTCTTTATTAAACGTAGCGTCGACTCAGTCTTCAGTTCATACTCGAATGAGATATTTACATGTATTTACAAAGGAGAGAAAATGTTGAAAGGTGCTCAAGGATCAGTCATATACTACCCTAAAAATATCATTTCGGAAGAGGTGCTGTAGTCGAGTGGTCTGAGCACTTGATTTGAAATTTTAAGGTCGTTGGTTCGAACCCCGACACGCCGAACTAACAGCGCTAATGCCTCAGTCACACCTTTGCGTATTGGCTTGCGTAGTGCTGCGTATTTATGGCAAGCCGTTCTAACATTTATTCCTATTCCTTGATATCAAGAATTCGATTTCTTGATATCAAGAATTACCATTGCTTTACAACAGAAAATTACTTCTTGATATCAAGAATTCTTTTCTTGATATCAACAAATAGGAATAAATGTTAAAACAGCTTTCCATAAATACGCAAAAATACGCAAGCCAAATACGCCAAGGTGTGACTGAGGCATACAAGACGATTTATTTTTTATTTTAAAGATGCAACCTCCCCCACCCCCACCCCTATTATTCTCTTTTCTCCCTGAAAACCGACTAGTCCTTCCAGAATTGCAGAGGGGGAAGGAGCTGACATGATAAAGGATCTCACCCCCCCCCCCCCCCCCCCCAGTAAGCCTATCCACCCACAAAGACTCGTCGCAGGGGTTGGGGAGGGGAATACGAGGATCTATTTTACATGAACGAGTTTTTTGTGTGCTTCTGAAATCGGAAATGTCAACAACAAAAAAAGAAAAGGTTAAATTTTGACTTTAACATAATTATAACATTAAATTTTCTTGGAAATAACCAGCATATCCTGTATACTCTTCAATACCTTTCCTTTCAGCGTACTGTAAATGGGTTTTCGGTCACAGCCGCGCTAGAAATATAACGCCAACGATATGGGTGTCGGTGAGCGAAGAGGAGGACGCCGAGCAGGAGGTCATTGACGTGCAAATCATCGCCATAATCACCACCATAATCGATATAACCATCGCCGTCATCGTCATCATATCAATGGGGCCATCTTCGATGTTTGATCCTGAATTCGGAAATAGTACTGTCGGCAGGAGAAGGGAAACTGGAGCGGCCGTCGCTCCGACGTCCTCTTCCCGCCTTGGGATGTTCTCCGTGATCGCCTTGCTCGGCATCGGCATAGGCATGACGATGTCGAGTGTTGGAGGATGGACTGATTCTTCCGTCGGCAAGGCCGGTATCGCCATCTTTAGCATTAGCTTTTTTATTTTTGTGATTGTAGGCTTTATGCGAGTGAACTCGATGATGAAATTTCAGTCTCCAGACTTTCAAGAGTATGCAGGAGAGTTGGATGCTGGGACAAGGACTTTTGAAGGAGGAAGCACCTTACTTTCACAAGCTGATGAGACGACATCCTATATCATCCAAACAGGTGCGCTGCAGCCTGGACGGGTTGCCATGGGAACACAGCCCGGGTATCTAAGAGGCCTCACACAGCCTTATCCACCACATGCAACTAAGTAAGTATAAGCTCCGTTCCATCAAGAGGGACTATTAAGCATAACCGGCAATGATGATCAATATTGTATTATTAATTTTGTGAAATTATAATAGATTGGGTCTGAATGCCAAAACAGATCTTACATTTCAACATCTTTGCGATCAGTAGCACATTGAGCTTTGAAGTGAAGAGAATAATAGGAGAGAGAGGGAGGGAAAGAGTGGGAGAGCGAGAAAGAGAGAGGGGGACTCGGAGGGATATATATATATATATATATATATATATGGACAGAGAGAGAGAGACAGAGAGAGTGAGAAAGCGAGATAGAAAGAGAGAGAGAGAGAGAGAGAGAAGGGGATGACGTGACACCTTTCTAGACCCTGAGCCGAACGGTGGTTCCCTGGCTGTCTTGTAATATAAACACCCACACACACACCAACCCCATCACATGACATGACATAACATACGCTTTGAAAGTCATAACCACACTGACTACAATCTTCTGAATTTTCTTATTTCATTTGTTTTCTCTTCTTTAATAAAGCTACCTAGGGGCAGCTTATCCTCCAAACCCTGTACAACCATCAAATATGGGCGTGGTCGACCCGCCATCGGAGGGAGAAAGTGTACCCCCGCCCCCATCCTATGATGACGTCATCGCCGGTAATGTGTAATATGACGAGGGAAATGGACAGTCCTAAATTGATGACTGATGCTAAATGCTGACGTCTCAACACAGCCCTGATTGAAACCAGTCTGCGAACTGTTTCGGGCTTTTACCGTGTATAAATAAAATAAACTACTTAACGCAAGACTCGATCTGGCGATGTCATTTAAAAAATATTTATCTTCTTTAATAAATACATCTTGATTATTGTTTCAGTAGTAAGCTGAAATGTTTATCATAATAATAATAATTTGATAATTATCAAATATCAGTTGCACACGTAGTCCAGAATCTGGCCTATTTAATTTTAATCTCCACCACACCAATGCCACCCTCTCCCTACTTACTTGCTACCAGCCGATGATGGCGTGATCATTAAATTAAGACGCCCAGGCTGGGCTGGTGAGCATAATTATGAGTTTGTTGATAACGCCATCTTCGACGGCTTGAATCAAGTGTTGGGAAATTATAAAGGACCGTGCATATTTTGGACTATTGCACACGAGGCGTTATTTTAATCACACCATTCAAAGAAGTTCAAAAAGTAAAATTCAAATTGACTCTTGGGTTAATTTCTCGAAAGTTTGAGCGATCGTTTTCACAAAAGATATTGTAAGAACCGTGTTGGCGATGCCCAACCTCTTTGGCGGATTGTATACAGCTCTAATTTTGAGTGCACCCCTCACCACCCCAACACCCATCGACCCCTATGTATACAGACTCAGGTAGTAAGGATTGCAAATGCAAGTGCTTAAAGGGACTTGGTAACATTGTTCAGATGAGAAATAGTGGTGCTAAGGTAGTGACTTCAATGCTAGATGTACAATTCAAGATAATCTGAAAATTTGAGTGAAAACGGACCATTATTCATGGTACAAATTGGGAAAAACTGATCTGATCGATTCCTTAATTCTCTCAACTATATTATTACAATTTAATTACATTTTAGGTGAATGGAAATCGTCACAAAGCAATACAATTCCAGACATTTAAGTGTTGACAGATTTTTTTTATAGCCTGTTTTATGTCTTTTTTTCATGGAAAAACGATTGGGAAAATTCCAAAATGGTTGGGAGAATTTACTGTTAATCACTTTTAGAGGGTGTCATACTTCGACTCCTTCAAAGAAAACCATAGATATCTTCGTGGTTTGAGAATTTGTTCAGGATTGTTTGCATGTCAGAGGGTTAGTACAGTAGAAGGAATATAGTAAGTAACATTTTATACAGCCACATGAAAAAGTCGGAGCGATTTATAGAACTTAATTGACCCCATATCATTCTCATTTTGTTGACGTACCATACGTTAATATAACAATTTTACGACTGAACAATGGCAAGTTGTTTACCTCGTACTTTATATCTTACAAATACTAAGTATGATTTTTTTTAAAACTATGTTTAACATATTCATTGGTATGTAATAATGATTGGGTATTTTTGTAGTCACACTTGGTATACCTATTTTGGTTCCGCGGATTATTTCGTTTTGTTACAGAAGAAAAGGTATCGAATTTACTTACTGTAAATACCTTGTATGATGTAATAAAGGCTCTCTGAAATGCATGTTCATGTTATTCAACCTTGTATTCAAACTTTAATTCGAATTTGTTATCATGGTTATGATTGTTGTGGAGTAAATGTTGATTGGGCCTATCTTATTAGAAAGTTATAAATGAGAAATGCATTATATAAAAACCGAGCGTCGTATGCATTATTTTTATCTTGGTATAAATTATGAACCATGGACAAAGGATTTGCCATTAAATTGAAATCGGTTTAATTTTCCAGAAATGCATTTCTATAAAGTCATTATACAAACTTTATATGTTTTCATGACAATTTTGTATTAAATGCACTTTTCAAACATCAAGGTAATTATTTCCGCGTTTCATTACACTACCTACGTGACTGATCCATAATAATATGATACTGAATTACAAGAGCTGAGGAGAGAGCGGTTTTGTATTCCTTTTTAAAGAATGAAAAGTTAGCATTTCACATGTTTTGTTTCCTTCTATGTACCTAAGAAAGATAGCCACAGTGATTTTCCTAACTTGTTTGTATGTCTAACGTAACATTGGGTGTAATATCGGACCTTAGCATGGTATAATTTTTTTTTTCGTTGACGTCATTGGTTTCAAAGATCGAACTTTAAATAGATTGATACTTCGCTAAATGACGTCAACAATACTCAGGGATAGAGTTTAAGACAGTAAATCGATTAAAGTGCAAAAGTTGATCTATGATAGGGAACGACCCTACCCCCCCCCCCCCCGCCCCCGCCCCCTCCGACGTGGTTGTATAGGTACACGTCGTTTCTAAACCCCTAATTCCACTGTATCTTTTTTTCTTCATTTTATACACTGTATATTCATCCAAATTGGACTTGGTACACACTAAAAAATAATGGTACAAATTTGCACCCTATAGGGTGCAGATCGCTGCTACAATAGCAGCCACCTATAGGGTGCAAGTTTGCAGACTTGTACCCTTAGAGGTGCAAAAGAGCACCCTTAGGGGTGCAGACCGCTGTTACAATAGCAGCCATGTATTGCAGACTTGCACCCTATAGGTGGCTGCTATTGTAGCAGCCATCTGCACCCCAAATGTACCCCTATTTCTTAGAACCACCCTCTAGGACGACTACCCCCGAACAACTACCCCCAGAAAACTACCTCCTAGGACAACCACCTTCTAGGACAACTACTCCCTAGGACAACCATCCTCCAATACAAGTACCCCAGATAACTACCTCCTAGGGCAACCGCCCTCGAGGACATATACTGTACTTCCTTGACATCTAGCACCTATGGTAACTACCACCCAACTACCCCCGGACACTAATCACTTTAATAGGGTAATTATCAATCGGGGGTAGTTGTCCTAGAGGGTGGTTGTCCTAGGGGTAGTAGTCTGGCGATATTTGTCCGGGGGTAGATGTCATAGGGGGTCATCCTAGAGGTTGTTAGCTAGTGGGTAATCATCCTAGAGGGTAGTAGTCCCGGGGCAATCTTCCTAGAGGGTGGTTGCCCTAGGGAGTAGTTGTCCTATGGGGTAGTTGTCCTAGAAGGTGGTTAGCCGGAGGGTGGTTGTCCAGGGGATAGGTATCCTAGAATCGTGATTTTCATATTAGACTACAAAATGTCTGGCAACTTCATCCGTATGTGCTTCGGGGAGCTAGCTCAGATGGTAGAGCGCTCGCTTAGCATGCGAGAGGTACCGGGATCGATGCCCGGGTTCTCCAAGTTGAACACTTTTTATTTCAATTAAACTTAAAGATGGAGGATAATTATGGGTTAAATTCTGAAAACGATGTTACCAATTGTATTTAAGAAAACGAAGTTAAAGGGGGTGTAGCATGGCAAATCCCGGTTAACGCCATCTACGACTTCTTTTGGACAACTGCATGTAAACGAATAGACTTGATTAACGGTCAGCGCGCGCAAGCGTTTGCGAAACAGTCCGAAGTTCTCCTTCCGCTTTGGTTTCGCGTATGTTGCACGCACCTGAATACTGTCTTGCCTCTATAACTTTATGCATATAGTTTTCTCAAAGATATTCGATCATACACAGTATGTCGTTCGCATATACTTTTTTTTTTAAAGAAAATTTGTATTCGGGGGTACCACCCATAATTATTCAGTTCTTTTTTTTTTAGCTCACCCCCTTCTTCCCAAAAATAGGATTAAAAAAAAAAAAAAAAAATTTGATGCATGATTTAAAACAAATATACCCCTCAGCAAATTGTACTATCAGAGTCGCCTCTTGCGCATAGTTTTAACCAGAACCTATCAAGACAGTGTATATTTGTATACTACAGAGCACTAAATGGTATAAGCGTTATACCAATCTAAAGACCACTAAATGGTATAAGCGTTATACCAATCTAAAGACCACTAAATGATATAAACGTTATACCAATCTACAGAGCACTAAATGGTATAAGCGTTATACCAACCTACAGGGCACTAAATGGTATAAGCGTTATACCAACCTACAGGGCACTAAATGGTATAAGCGTTATACCACTTACAGGGCACTAAATGGTGTAAGCGTTATACCAACCTACAGGGCACTAAATGGTATAAGCATTATACCAACCTACAGTGCACTAAATGGTATAAGCGTTATGTTAACCAACATGCTTTCAGATATCATGTAGAATTCTTGATACAGTAACAAAATTATAAATTCAACCAGTATATATATATCCAGTATATAGTTTAAAAAATCATTGTTTTAAAGCCAAAGTGATATTGATCTACATATGACACTATACAGCATAATCAGATTATTATTGAGATTTTAAGCAATTTAGCCTTGTTTTGGACTGTGATAACGATCATAGATGCTTCAATCATATACTTTTTAACCAAATCCATGACCCCATGCTAACACGTTGTATTATCTTTAAAAGCAACCTGTAAACTGACATCACTGATTTTCGCTAATGTTTTTCTTTCTGTAGAAATATACATTCCAAGTATCTTCAAAAAAGCTACATCCCACGTGCAAAACTTTTGGAGATAAATTAATACTCATACAGGAAAAATGTGTTTTAAATTAACAGTTGACAAGGAATATCCTCTGTCTCTGCTCTAATACATACTAGATAAAAACTTGAGCCAAATAAAATATTTCAGAGCAGTTTCAAGGCGAACAAATTATCACATATGTTACACACATGTACCTCAAATTTAATGTACTAAAGTTCATTCTTTTCTGTAGCAATAATGAACTCAATATCATCATAATGATTATTTTATAACAAATCTGTTTAAACACGATTATTGAAGAAAAAATGAATTTGAGTTGTATGCTTACAATAGAAAAACTAAAATTCCTTTATTTCTATTATTTGTCTTTACAATCACTATTGTCTTGAAAATCCTTGCAGAATTGTGCGTTAAATGAAACCCCTATGTCAGTACGCATACTATGTGGATTATTGCCATCAAATTTGTGGGGGTCCCAACACTATAGAAGGGCTTTAACTAGACCTAATACCCCTCAAAATAAAGCAGAAACCTACTCAAAATAATCCCAATGTTTCTCCCTCAACCCATTCACTATCTGAAGTGGCAGTTTGTCTCCAGCGGTCAGAGTGAAAGGAAGGAGAATTACACTATCCCTTGGAATGGTCTCAACCCAAACCTGCTTCCGGCCATGCTGTCCTGTGACAGCAACCATCATCTTCTTCCACTTTGTTGTCAATGTCCCTGTAAACCATTCTAGTACAAGGCCATCCTCTGTGACCTTGTCCACAC